CTAGTAATTTTTTGGCCAATAGGATGCGTTTACCAAGGATAATAAAGGGTCGGATTGAGCCTATAACAATTTGGTGGTGATAGGGTTAAGTAAGTGAATCGTTTCGGAGATGTTGCACAACATTCCCGAGCGCAATATAGTCCGGCGATGTTCCACGGGACTATATAATGTCTGGGAATGTTCTACGCATGAAGGGCTTCTAATCTTTTTGAAAATGACGAGTACTGGGGCGGCGATGAAGTTTCAGTAGACCCTTCGATGGCACGCAGAATGTAGCATTTACCTGCAATTAGAGCTGCTGCTGGTTATCCACACAGTCGCTACTGGCATCCTTATCAGTCCTGTATAGAAGCATCACTACCGCCATTTACTTGTTAACACGACTTGTGTTATCGGCTACTCATGTTCAGTGCTAAATGTATGTATTCCTTGAAAAAAATCAAGTATGCACGCTTCCACATCCACTAACGTAGATGGCCATACAGTACCTCGATGCCAAGGTTGATCGAATGATATTGGATGACAAATGGTCTTTGGGCGGCAAGTGACAGTTCTTACGAACTGCGAATACGACGCAGACCCTTGATTTTGTAGTTAAACGGACACTAATGACTAGGGATGTTTCGTGCATTTGCACGAAGGTGCACCAAAGTACTTCGTACCTCACGAAAGGGTGTCGTGCGCTTTCATACGCTTACAATCGATATTTTATTACGTATATAGCCCAGGTAGTGGGTCTTAGCGATAAACACACTGCGAGGGATGCTGGCGCTTCCTGTGAACCCAACGTCTATTATGAGTCCTAGTGTAAGTTCTCTTATGTTCTCGCACTGCCTGGTCCGGTCGGTCGACCAGGCAGTGGTTCCTAACTCCTAAATTGTAGCCAGCTTGGCATCACGTCCTCAGTGATACCCGTTGAGTGGGAAGGCTTTCTGATGGTAACCCCCACTACACCCAGACGAGTTGGGCATCATTGATGTATTAAAATACAAGGTGAGTGGAACCCGCTTTTTAAGCAAGTTTAGAGGGAAAAGTGACCAAGCTGGTGTAATTGTGTATTCAAAAGGCCAGGACCGGTGTTTTAAGTTAATGACTCGATCGGTGTTTTTTACCCCCCTGTTGTGGTATGGCAAATACGTTAAATGTTCTTTCTAAATTATAGATTTATGTTGAAATGGCATTGCAATGGCCGAAAATATCTGTCCGTAAAGTGGATTGTGACTTGTTGCTAGATGGGAAACGATAAAGAGGTTGTAGAAAAGCATCAGCGACCTTCTAAGCGACATTCTGTGATAGTATCGATTCGATATTCATGCACTGCTGCAGCCTAAATGTCACGTCAAAACAGCCAGGCAGCACGTTACAAGCTGCGAGATGCATCGGAGAGCGACCATCTTACAGATGCCTTGGGTTGCAGGTCACCGGCCCGATGGGCTCACAACTACATGTATTGAGGACGATGGATCGATTGCGGATCGTTTTGACGCATTCTGGCATTTAACACGTTATCAGGAGGTCGTAAGACACGAAACTCCTTAATGAAATGGCTGGGCCTCTTCATTGTCCACTATTTAGTGTTGGACCCCTACAAAGCCGACTCTTATACACGATAATCATTGTCAAAACAATGGTTTTAGAATACAGATTATATCCAATATCAGAGGTCTTGTTTACGAATCTGCGATTGCGTAGATTTTGGCAGTGACGTGTCGGCCAGTCCTCACGCCGATTGGCTGATATCCACCCTGCCTTGCGACACCGTTCGATTTACCACTGGTCGGGCAAAATCGCTGCTATTTACGAGCGACTTGCCCGGTTTTGTACCGATTGCGATGCAATTTGCGTACGTACACGGGAGGACAAACGCTTGATGCGTGAAGGTTTGTTTGTGTCGCGCGACCTTGATCCCATTCTCAATCGTTCTCGGCGCACCGCAAGTGCAGCAACAGCAACAGCAATCTATTTCTAGTAGATCAACATGCCTCGCATTCTCATCGTCGGTGGTGGCCCTGCGGGTATCGCCGTAGCCCAGACACTGGCGGCCGATCTCACGGCTAAGGATGACACCGAGGTCATCGTCCTCGAAAAGAGCAAGTATTTCTACCACGCTGTGGGCACGCCGCGTGCCGTTGTGGACGCCAACTACACCAAGAAGCTCTTCGTACCGTACGACAGCGTGATCCCGCCGTCGGTCAAAGCTTTCGTCAAGATCCAACGCGCCGTCGTGACGCGTATCGTGCCCGGCGCCAATGAGATCGAGTACGCGCCCATCGGCGAGGACGGAGACATGCTGGCGGGACCCGTCAAGAGCATGCCGTATGACTACCTGGTGGTGGCGACGGGGAGCACTTACACGGTGCCCATCAAGCAGCCCAAGAACAACTTCAAGCGCTCCACCACGGAGGCCAAACTGGCCGAGGTGCGCGAGCAGGTCAAGGCCGCCAACAGTGTGCTCATCGTGGGTGGCGGCGCCGTGGGTGTCGAGGTGGCCGGCGAGATCAAGGCCAAGTACCCTAGCAAGACAGTGACGATTCTCGAAGGAAAGGACAAGCTGGTGGCCAACGACGATGTGCGCGACAAGTTCCGCACCAAGCTGTCGACGTACCTCAAGCGTCTTGGTGTTAAGGTGGTGCTGGGAGAGCGTCTGACAGAGCGTCTAGCGGGCAACAACTTCGAGAAACGTACGCTGCGCACGGACAAGGGCACGGAGATCGAATCGGACGTACAACTGTTGTGCGGCGGCTTCAGTCCCACAACGGAGCTCATCCAGAAGCTGGACGCGAGTCTGGTGACTGCCGAGGGATTCATCAAGGTGAACAGCAAACTGCAGTTGGACAGCAATCAGTACTCGAACATCTACGCGCTGGGCGACGCGAGCAATAGTCCGGCGCCCAAGCGCATGTACTACGCCGGTTTACAGGGCAAGCATCTGGGTGCTGAGCTGGCGCTGGTGGCGCGTAAGACGCAGTCCAACGTGAGCAAGCCGTTCCCCAAGGTGGAGATCGTGGGCACGATGCTGCCGTTGGGCCCGAATGGTGGCGTATCGCAGTTGCCTGTCATGGGAGGCGTGGTCATGGGCAACCTCATCACCAAGTCCATCAAGTCCAAGGACTACTTCGCCGGCATGGCTTGGAAAAACCTCGGCGCCGTCGTTCCCAACTAGGTAGCGACGTTGTAGATCTTGTAGATATCTTTGCAGTACTATTCAATATTTCGGTTCAAACGCTTTTTATCAACTTGCGTCGGATGGGATTATTCTTAACGCTTTGTGAGCTTTGAAATCGCAAACATGTATCTTTGCCTTACATTTGCAGTTGTAGTGTACATGGAGTAAGCGATCTCCTTATTACCAGTCCAATTTGAGTTTGCTATGTAAGGAGTAACAGATTCATTAGGTCCCTGCATCACTAACAGAACGATAGCGCAACTTCGAGGTACTGGTTTGAAGACTTCAGACGGGTTTGATCATCTGTGACGTGACGACGCCTGCTGGTAACATTAGCGTGACCACCAAATTCTAAACTTGATCGCAGTTTGTTCTGAGCTAACACACGGTACAATCGAGGACCGAAGCGATGGATCGTGGATTCTCCGCCTAACCATGGGCAGCTCATAGCTCATTGAGCTAGCTACACGTACTCTTGCTACATGTACACCGACCGTAATCGTTTAGTTAGTGATCAACAAATCACCAGGATATTGGTACGTGTATCCACTGGGAATGTTGGTCATTGCTCTGTAAACAACCTGGCCGGTGTGGCGATTACTATTCTAGTGTGACCAGAATGAGCAATGGGCAGCGGTCTTCAATTTCCATCACAACTAAATCTGCAGCAAAGGCAAACAACACAACAGCTATCCAGCTATCCTTCCAAGTGCCAAGAACATGACGCGTATAGTGATCGTCGGAGGAGGCGCAGCTGGTATCAACGCTGCGCAGGCTCTTGCCAAGAATCTGACCGAGGCTGACGACACTGAGGTCATCGTGCTTGAGAAGAACTCCTATTTCTACCACGTTATCGGTGCCCCACGCGCCTACGTGGATGGCGACTACACCAACAAGATGTTCATCCCATACGATAACGCCATCCCCAAACATGCTGCCAAGTTCGTACGCATTGTGCGCGGAGTAGCGACGCATGTCTCGGCCGACACGAACGAGGTATCATACCATTTAATCGGTACCGACGATAAGGAGAGTGAGACGACGGAGAAGCTGAAGTTCGACTACCTGGTCCTGGCTACGGGTAGCACATACTCGGTGCCTATCAAACCGGACAATCGTGACTACGCACGTTCGGCGACGGAGAAGAAGCTGCAAGAAGTACGTGGTCACATCGAAAGGGCCGAAAAGGTCTTGGTCGTCGGTGGAGGCGCAGTGGGCTGCGAGGTAGCGGCGGAGATCAAGGTGAAGTATCCGAGCAAGTCGGTGACAATCGTGGATGCGAACAAACAGCTCATCTCTGGCAGCAATCTGCGTGATAAGTTCTATTCGTATCTGAATGCTTCGCTCGAGAAGCTTGGCGTGAAGGTGGTTTTGGGCGAGCGTTTGACTGAACGCCTGACCGGCAACGGCTTTGAGCAGCGCACCTTGCGGACCGACAAGGGAACGGAGATCGAATCGGATATCCAGCTCTTGTGCGGTGGATTCAGCCCTGTGGCCACGCTGGTGCAGGAGATGGATTCGTCTCTGGTAACCGAGCGTGGTTCTGTCAAGGTGAATGCCCAGTTGCAGCTGGACGGCAGTAAATATGCTCACATTTTCGCTGTGGGTGACATGTGCAATCACCCTGCGCCAAAGATGGCGTTTATCGCTGGTGAACAGGGCAAATTTTTGGCTGGCGAGCTGGCGGCGGTGATTAAAAAGAAACAAACAGGTTTCACGAAGCCATTCGACACGCCTGCCATAGCTGCGATGATTTTACCACTTGGCCCGAGCGGTGGAGTCTCGCAGCTGCCTTTTTGGGGTGGCGTTGTACTCGGAGACTGGTTCACGTGGTTGCTCAAGTCAAGAGACTATTTCGCAGGCCGAATCTGGGCTAGCATCGGCGCGACAGTCCCCAACTAGTTAACCACTCGATTAACAAAGCTCCTTGATTCTTCGTTTCCCAGCCTTTTTTTTTCTATTGTCTTGATTTGGGCAAGAGAAGCCTTCAAACTCACGGACGAGATAATGCAATTCATTATGAAAATGATTCCAATTTCTTGTAAGGGTCAACTTCTTTGGATCGTAGTATAAGCCAATGTAGACGACGAAAAGGCTCTCGGACTTCTCCTTTGAGCAAGACATACATCCCAATGATGACGCTGACTGCTCGTTGGGCAGTAAATCGAGAAATGACACTTGCTCAGCGTATCATTCAGAATTACCCTTATAAATGCGACTAGCGTGATCACAGCAGGTGTCCAAGGTAGTATTCGTCAAGGGAATATGCACTTCTAACACTCCGTTGGCTTATACATACCTAACGCTAGCGAATATCGAGCTGTGACCGCCTGGTCTGAATTTAGGCCTAAATAAAAATATCCAACGTAAATCCAGCTCATGTCTGAATACGATTCGAAGTGTAAAATTAAAATTCCCTTTTAAAGATGATACGTGATATCCGTAAGTATAAACGCCAAGAAATAAGTTGTACTACAATCTAGTGCGATGAAGTATTCCCAAAACTGTATTCCCCAGTATGTACATTATACAAGGTCTTGTTAAAAAAAATGAATACGCGTACCCTGGAACCTCTAGTTACAACACTGTACATGTAGATTATTGATAGAAGTACGCTGCCACTCGTGATTGACGAGTATACGCCGCAGTTGCATGCGTTGCATTCATTATGACAAAGTTTATGGGACCACCTGGGTTGCAATTAAGTGATACTTAGTTTTTCGTGAAGTTGCATTTAACCATTCTATGATTGATCTCTTGCCACCCAGCAGGTTATTTATCGATTCTAAAAATTTTGCTATTTAATTCCATCATATGACAGCGCGTCAACATACAAGTTTACTCCGACGGACCCGTGCGTAAACTAAGCTAAAATGGCTATGATTTCTCCGTTGAAAAAAATACCTGGCTAGACACTGAAGGATCACTATTCGTTTCTCCACGAATGAACCATCTCTCAAGAACTACGACCCGCACTATCACCAGCCGAGCTTCTAACCACATCAAGTCAAAAATGATGCGCATTGTGATCGTCGGTGGTGGCCAGGCAGGTATCAACTGCGCCCAGAATCTAGCCAAGACACTGACCGAGGCGGACAACACGGAGGTCGTGGTGCTGGAAAAGAGCGGGCATTTCTACCACACACTGGGTGCAGCTCGAGCCTGCGTCGATCTCGACTATGCCAAGAACATGTTCGTCCCGTACGACAATGCCATTCCAAAGACTTCGTCCGGTTTTGTCCGTATCGAGCACGCTGTTGCAACCGGAATCTCGCCTGACAAGAAAGAGGTCTCGTTCCAGACCATCAGTGCTGATGATAAGAAGAGTGCTAAAACGGAAAAGCTGAATTTCGACTATCTTGTGTTGGCCACCGGCAGTACGTACACAGTTCCGATCAAGCAGGATTCGAAAGACTACCGGCGCGAGACTACGGAGGCCAAACTGCAGGAAGTTCGTTCCGAGATTGAGAAGGCAGGCAAGATCCTGATCGTAGGAGGCGGGGCTGTTGGCTGTGAAATGGCCGGTCAGATCAAGGCGAAATACCCAGAGAAAAACGTGACGATCCTCGAGGCACACAGCGAGCTCATTTCCCGCAATAAGCTGTCGGACAATTTCTACTCCAAGCTGCATGCTGCACTGGATGCGATGAAAGTGAACGTTATCCTTGGGGAGCGTCTCACAGAGCGCCTTCAGGGCAACTCGTTCGAGAAACGCACACTTCGGACTGACAAGGGCACAGAGATTGAGTCTGACATCCAGCTCCTGTGCGGCGGATTCCACCCCGTGTCCGAGCTGGTACAAGATATGGACCCGTCACTGATCACGGAACAGGGCTCGATTAAGGTCAATGAGTTGCTCCAGCTGGACAATGACAAGTACTCGAACATCTTTGCACTTGGCGATAGCAGCAACCACGAGACACCCAAGATGGCGTTCTGGGCTGCTGACCAGGGCAAGTTCCTCGCTGCACAACTTGCAGCCGTCGTGCAAAAGAAGCAGGACGGCTTCAACAAGCCGTACCCCAAGGTCTCAACGGAGGCGGTGATTCTTCCTGTAGGCACCGGAGGTGTCTCTCAGCTTCCTATCTGGGGTGGCGTCGTGGTCGGTGACTGGGTCACCTGGATGATCAAGGCGAAAGACTTCATGGCCGGCCGCACCTGGGGCAGCCTCGGCGCCACGCCACCCAAGTGAAGGTAGCATGAATGACGAGCGAGTCGCTGCTACTGTCTCGATTCTGATCACAGAAGAACGCAGATGCATGTACTAGCAAAACGCTTCATTAGACGAGTCAACCTCACATCGTGATGAATACATTTACTCTTTTCCAAGTTAGTATCATTTACTAGAAGCAAATTCAACTCCATGAGGTATGGTGCCTGTCAAAGTTTCACAGTTTAGGCAGTGAACGATTTAATACGCACTCCTAGTTAGCCTAGTTAGGAACTGAGGCGCCAATACTTGCCCAGATTCGACCAGCCAGGTAGTCCCTAGATTTGATGAACCACGTGAACCAGTCGCCCAAGACAATTCCACCAAACATTGGTAGCTGCGAAACTCCACTGGACGGACCCAATGGCAAGATCATCGCTTCAATCGCCACTCCAGCGAACGGTTTGATAAAGTCTGTCTGTTTCTTGCGAATCACTGCAGCCAGTTCGTCAGCTAGGAAGGAGGCCTGTTCACCGGCCCAGATAGCCATCTTCGGGGTGGGGTGGTTGCACATGTCCCCCAAAGCAAAAATACTGCGATACTTTGAGCCTTCGAGTTGCAACTTTTCGTTCACTTTGACAAAGCCCTGATCCGTCACCAGAGATGGATCCATCTCCTGCACTAACGTGGCCACAGGACGAAAGCCCCCACACAAGAGCTGGATATCCGATTCGATCTCCGTTCCCTTGTCGGTCCGCAAGGTGCGCTGCTCAAAGCCGTTGCCGGTCAGGCGTTCAGTCAAACGCTCGCCCAAAACCACCTTCACGCCAAGCTTCTCGAGCGAAGCATTCAGATACGAATAGAACTTATCACGCAGATTGCTGCCAGAGATGAGCTGTTTGTTCGCATCCACGATTGTCACCGACTTGCTCGGATACTTCACCTTGATCTCCGCCGCTACCTCGCAGCCCACTGAGCCTCCACCGACGACCAAGACCTTTTCGGCTCTTTCGATGTGACCACGTACTTCTTGCAGCTTCTTCTCCGTCGCCGAACGTGCGTAGTCACGATTGTCCGGTTTGATAGGCACCGAGTATGTGCTACCCGTAGCCAGGACCAGGTAGTCGAACTTCAGCTTCTCCGTCGTCTCACTCTCCTTATCGTCGGTACCGATTAAATGGTATGATACCTCGTTCGTGTCGGCCGAGACATGCGTCGCTACTCCGCGCACAATGCGTACGAACTTGGCAGCATGTTTGGGGATGGCGTTATCGTATGGGATGAACATCTTGTTGGTGTAGTCGCCATCCACGTAGGCGCGTGGGGCACCGACAACGTGGTAGAAATAGGAGTTCTTCTCAAGCACGATGACCTCAGTGTCGTCAGCCTCGGTCAGATTTTTGGCTAAGGCCTGCGCGACACGAATGCCTGCCGCCCCACCCCCGACGATCACTACGCGCTCCATTTGCTTGATACGATTGTCGTACCGTTTTTGAGTGGATTGAGTTGTGAGATTGAATCGGTTGCAAATTACCGGTACAGGACACCTGTCAGCATGCATGCCGGCTATTTTGATAGATACATGGTAATCAATGCAGGTTCTCAAAAGATTACCAATGGTCTCTCGCGATAATCAGAGCCCTCGAGTACCAGCATTCTCAAATTTACCACCTGTCTAAGCCTATTTCTGAGAACTTGTTGACCACCACCAACGAGTTGGATTGCGAAACGTTGGTTCACTTTCGTCACTTTTCACAGCTTCCAGGAAACATGGATTTCGCTATCCGAACCGAACAATGGATTACCATTATAGGAAGTGAGGGCGAAGTAGTACAAACGCCGATAAATTGAACGAAGATGAAGCACTCAAATAGCAGCTTTTTTTAGTGAGCCTTTGGAAGGGATAACCAGATGAGCGACTTGAAGCCGGATCTTCACATTTCGCGCAAACCTATTGAAGAACTGAGACTGTCGTCGTGGACGGCAAACACCTTTGCAGCGGCCTCTCGTAGAGGTCCTCTTACAGGGTCCCTCTACTCTACTCTGGATCGTTGAACGGTTGGTACGCGAGTTGTTGACAACGACGCGAATGAAGGCCAAGCGCCTTGTTGGATATTCGCAGAGGCGAGGCTGCCATTCCTGGTCAGTCATGATTCGCTCGTTGATCCGGCTTGGTCTTGCCCGGTGCATCAAGAAAAGAGACCCAAGCTTACGCGCTCGGCTCACTGCAGCATCATCCCACAGCGGCTCTGCTGGATAAACGTGCCGTGACCATCATGGTCAGCGTTGAAGAGAGAGAGGGAGACAGTCGAGAATCTCTTGTATCTTGGTTCGTGATACAAGGCTTCTAGTCCAAATTTGCAGCTCAACGACCAACGGTAGCTCTGCCTTTACTATCCTGCACTATAGTTTCTGTGACTCCAGCGATCGTGCGAGAATTATGGCCGCCATCGCGAAAAACTCTGTTTGAATGCACGGAGAAGAAATTAAACGGACAAGGTGCGGAGGATAAGAACTCCATATAGGCGGCTATCCCTCACCAGTGTCGCTGTCTATAGGTGCCCCCATTCACCAAAACCGAAGCGTCTGGTCATGATTTCTAGCTCACCAGCTTGTTCACGTTATGTGGCTCTGCTAGAAAACTCTGAACGCAAATCTCGTGGCAATTGTGGGTGTAGCGGAGATTTTTTGATCTGCGCCACCAAGATGTTACACCGCCCGTGTACTCGTAAAGGCCGTGGAAGCGCATGGCCAGCGTACGGATCCCAGCTGTCAGGGTGCGCTGGTCACGCCAGACGCCACCTGTACTCGACAATAGTGAAGCCGAGTCGAGCGCCTATGCTAGCTGCCATGTCGGCTGTGTGATCACCTCTGCTCCATGACACGTCTGTCACCGCCCAGCCGAGCGAGCTATGCCATTCGAGTTATATTCCTTCTTGACGCGTGCTACACAGAACTCTGCCGGTTTGAGATCGCGGAGCTGAGACTTTCGGCATAAGAGACTTACCTCGACTTCATCTCGAGGCCGTTCAAGCATCGGTTCCGATATCTGTTAACAACCATGGGCATGGACCCTAAGTACTGCAAGGTGACGGTGCACCCAGCCAACATCAAGGCGTCTCCGCCTCGGATGCGACGACAGACTGTCGGCGACGAAGGTCTCAGTTCAGTCCGGAACGAGTCATTCAAGCGGGCGCCGCCGCCTGTGCCGCCCTACAAGGCGTATGCTGCCGCTGTCTTCGACAATGTGGACGAGGTACTGGAAGACGACACAGCTGACATCGCTGTACTCAGTGAGGAGGAACCGATGCCGTCGTCCCGCCGGCGCGCACACACGACGTCTTCGATGTCCACTTCAGCACGCCTGTCAAACATCCTGAACCCGCTGTCACGCATGACAATGCGCTGGACCGAGCAGTCAAACGACGCAGGCTCAAACAAAGCGACCGACTCCTCCACGACCAGCGCGTCGTCGACTCCGGATCTGATGGACACCCCGCCGCCACTTACGACTCCGCCGCCTATGATGGACCTGGCAAACTCGTTCTTGGATGTGGACACGGACGGTAGTGATGAGATCACGCGCCCCACATTCGAGGACATGGCAAGTCTGATGGCAGGAACTCCACCGATTCCTGCGGGACTTACACTCGACATGCTACCGACGGAGTACGAGACGCCCCCGATCCCGTCGCACCTACGCGACGTGCTACTGCATAACCAAAACCAGCAAAAGAGCCTTTCACCGCTAGTATTTGAACACAGTGACGATGAAGAGAGCGAGATTGACGACGATGACACCAGCAGTGCCACCACAGACGACTACGGTGAGGATCCAGCCAACCACTCGGTGGATATCGACAGCATCCGTCAGACACGCGAACAGGCTGTGGCCAACTTTGAAGCCTCTCTCCGTGATCCCAATCGCCGCATACCACGGTCTCGCACCACCGAGGTGCCTAAGAGAATAGGTGGATCGGCACGCAACATCCGTGGACTCAGCTCGCCGCCGCGTATGCTGAGCCAGGTCATTCGTCCTCGCAAGGCCACAGTACCCGATGCCGCTGACGCCTCTACTGAATCCGGAGCGAATTCACACAACGGCGGGGATCCTTCAGTGCCAATGTATCACGGACAGGAGCTCCATCTGGCGTTCAAGACTACGACCGGCCAGATCACTCAAGTGCAAGGCCACCCCAAGCGACGTGGAGGACACGCGAACCCATTTTCGCGTCGTGTTCGCTGCCATGCTGTTCAACCGTACGATTCTCTCGAAGACGGCGACACGCTACGTATCATCGGCCATACCACTGACGGTCTGCTTCGTGGTGGAGACTGCGTCTCTTTCGCGCGCACCGACGGCACGGTGTTGCGCATGCAGAAGATGTCCAAGAAGCTGACGTTTAGCAACAAGATCGACGTGCGAGCCAAATTCATTATCACTGGTGTACCCGATCGAACACCTGTGACGTCGACGTCCAAGTTCTACCTGCAAAGTGTGTACGATCGCAAGAAAACGGTTGGGTTCTTGCGTTCTCGACGCGACAATCACCCAGGCTGCCTCGCCATGTATGTCCACCGCAACGCTGAGGACAAGGTCGAGCCTATCCAGTTCTTCAAGCGCCATCCGGGCCAGAATATGGTCTTCTGGCACCAACCGCAGCAATGGGTGTAAATCTCATGAAGCAATAAAGCGCTCCTGGGACGATCGAAGTACCGGGTTGCGGGCTGCTTCAACTACTGTATGTGCCACTGAAAGTATGTGTATTTGATGTAGTATTTGTCGTGATGTATATAGTAGTATCCTCGAGTCGTGTTATCTAATGTATCAACAACTGAGTGCTGGAAACTTCTACTTTCTGTAAGACAATTTTATCGACAAGTACATGTAAGCTTAGCACCAGCGCAGAACCATTGAGGAATGCCACACTTGACACCATGTGAACCTGGCTCTAAGGTGTACAACCTTAACCAAGCAAACCTGCTGGTGTTTCTTCGTGCATGAAGTAGAAAACAGGGGATCTACGCTATATCATTCTCAAGACGATTCTCAACATTGATTCCTGGTTACAACGTTTGCTTTCATCAACTTTCGTTCCAATTATGTCCCGCTTAACGCGTTGTTGAAGAGGCCGTCGTGGTACTGCCGGTGTCACCGCGGCTAGATCTTGTTACTGTACTTCTTGAACGGTTGAAGTTGTAGAATCATTAGGTCAGTAACGCTGGCTGCGTGGTATCTCCCGTTCGGTTAAATCAATTAAAACCGGATCAATAGTTAAGAGCTCGCGAGGTTCCGCACTTCAAGGGGTCAACTTTCCAGTCAGCTAAAGTAATATACTTCAGTAATAGTACTGCAATTCGTAGACTCGCGATAGTCTCATCTTATATTCTGCCGCACAGTGTTGAGACGAGGAACAGTGCCGCTTTAGAGACCACTAAGATATCTATCGGGCTTTGCGACCATGAACTCTCTTTTTCTTTTCACCTTTTTGAGGAAGATTGCGAGCCTAGAAAAAGTCTGCAGATTATCTCGACAATCGGATGAGTTGATAATACAGCCCAAAAACATGTATCATTAATTAACAAAACGCTTGTAACCAGTACGTACATGCAAAACGTTGTCAACTCACAAAGCTACTTCGTCAAAAATGTCTGTCCACGAATCGCCGAGGTATTCGACATCAAGTGGAGGCAGCCCATCCAGCCCAGTCTCGGTGCTGTTGTTATTGTTGGTAGCGATATTTGTACTGCCGTTGTTGTTTTCAGTTTCTGGACGAATTCCTGCCGTCATTTGGTTCTCGATTAGTATTGGATCGAGGAGTGCGTTAAGTTCGTCCTCACGAACGGAATCGGTCACGAGTGACCAGTCCAGTGCACACAAGTCCACCAATGGCCATGAGTTATTGTTGAAGTTCTCGGGACTGAATGTAGCCATCTCTTGTTCCGGTTCGCGCTGATCTTGGCTGTCCTCGGAGTGTAGCCTCTTTAAATCCATGCGGAGCAAACGTTCGTCGGTATCACTCTCCTCTCGTAAACGTTTCGTTCCGATGTGAGAAGCTGCAGCACACATAGCGGCCTTGTGCATCTCCATTTCGGCTACCACCGCAGCTAGCTGAGACGGATGGCATCGATGGAGAAACTCGTGACTGAACGTGCACACACTGGCTCGCGTTTTCGTCCACTTGCGAAAGCCGAAGTTATTGAGCTGCCGCTGGAAGCTGGCGAACTTGCAATGCTTGAAATACTTCGGGAGAATCTCACGCTCAAGTCTGGGTACATTGAAGACCTGGAAGTGGGAGCCGTCTACTGACCAAGAGAGGATGCAGGGGTCTTCGTCGTGCAAGATATCGTACAAAGTTCTCACGAATCGAGGAACCTCGTCGACGGTTTTTTCGCCCAAGCGCATCGTTCTTTTCTTCTGGTTGTTGCTGTAATAACTGTGTTGATTCTCAGAATCAAATCAGGTTGTGATCTAGAGTCGCCTTAGTTTTTTTTTCTCTCTGAGAACTTCTCAGCGATAATCACTAGCTATATTTGTGATGAGAACATACACGGAAGATTTTTTTGAGCCGCGTGCTTCGGTGTACAACTTCTAGTCGCAGCAACAACCCGGCCCGGAATGCGCAGAAAACGCAGCTGCAAGCGCCCCACCAAGATCATACGGTGACTACTGAAATTGCCAGCTGAAGTGCTTGACTAATATGCCGAGGATTCTGAATAAACCGATGCTGCACGTAATGAGCACGACATTGAAGTGTCGTCTTGGTGATCGTATGCCTGCCTCATGCAGGTGCTTCTACGTTTTGAAAATGGCTACGCTTTCCATTTTTGAGAAGTTGCAAGAAACTGTTGCCCTACGGAAGGATAACTGGGTTTTTCACTACAGACTATCAAATACTTCGAAGTAGGTAAGTATTCGTGTATAGTAGATATCTGCAACTGGTTCTGGATGCTTTGTTGCTGTGGTATCATAACGCGCCAACACGAAAAAAAAATCACCACCAAACACTGGACCACGTGTTTTACAAGAATACTAGCTCTGTTAATTAACCTAGCAGTGCTAGGCCCATGCCCATCTGCGCTAGGCCAACCGGTTCAACGCTTGGTAAGAACCTTCTCATCCTATGAAACATATTGCAATCTGTGCGGTACATGTCCGGTGTATTCCGCACAGCTCTCACTCGTCGGCAACGCGACAGCAAGCTCACAACTACATTAGCTCAACTCCAGATACTTTGATTTTCAATACATCTTTGCGGCTAACTTAGAATCACATCGTGACTATGATCTTGGATAGTGATCCTAAGAACACCAGTGACACATCGTTCGTCATTGTACCTCGCTTCGTGCGCGCCGTCTACGACATGCTGCAGAACGAAGACCAGTGTATCCTCTCCTGGTCGGCCGATGGATCACACTTCCAAGTCTA